AATGGAGAGAGGCTGAAAACATTCCCCTTGAAAACTGGAACAAGACAAGGATGCCCTTTATCACCACTCCTATTTAACATTGTGCTGGAAGTTCTAGCTAAAACTATTTTTAATATTTTTAAAAGACTGGTGTAAATTATACATTTATATGATATAATGTAGCACAGGGTAAAAGAATACATCAGTGATGAATCTACGGTCCACCAATGATGAGCTATGTGATGTGGATAAAGTTAATTTGCCTTTCTGGGTTTTTGTTTGTTTTAGTAAAAACTCAAACCCATTGCCATCAAGTCAATTCCGACTCATAGCGACCCTATAGTAGCCATGTAAAAAAGTAAAAGAAACAGGTGGGATTAATTTTAATAATATATTTTATTTAACCCAATATATCCAAAATTTTATCATTTCAAAATATTTTACATTGCTTTAATATAAATTTAAATAAAATTTTAAAATTCAGTTCCTTACACTGTCCACACTGTTGACTTAATAGGCAATCAACTAAGCTCTGTAAAGAGAGATGAGAACAAAACATACTTCTTGTAGACCAGGAATTAGTTGGTCCCAAGAAATTACTGGTAATTTTATTAGATACTATCTTGACTTTGTGTTTATGTAAGAATATTCTTTATTTTTAGAGATATGGATACTGAAGCATATACAGGGTAAAATGACATGATGACTAAGATTTTCTTTAAAATACTTTATAAAAAAAAATGAAAATAGGAATAGATGAAGCAAGTGTAGCAAAACTGATAATTTTTTAATCTGAGTACCAGATATGTGAGAGTTTATAATATTGTCTTGTTCTTATTCTTGTTAGTTACCATTGAGTGAATTCCAACTCATGACAACTCCATGTATGTGTCACAGAGTAGAACTGCTCCATAGGATTTTCTTGGCTATTCTCTTGTCGGAAGCAGATCATCAGGCCTTTTCTTCTACAGTACCACTGGGTAGGTTCAAATCACCAAACTTTATGTTATTAGCCAAGTACAAACCATTTGTGTCACCTAGGAACCTTATATTATTATCTACAATGTTGTATTTTTTTTAATTTTTCATAATAAAGTTTGTTTTTAAATACATGTACTGTAGTGGAAAATAGAAAGGCATAATTTATTGAGGACTTACTATATCTTGGGGTAGTTCTAGTATTTAAAACTATCCTCTGAGGTAGTCAATACCATTTCCATTTGAAAGATGAATAACTGATGATAAGAGAGCTTAAGTGACTTGCCAGACTACCAGAACCAGCATTTGTTCACACTCAATATAAAGATAAAGATGGACTTTGTTCCCACCTCCACACATCTTTCCATCCAGAGGAACAGGAAGAGGATGAATAAAGTAAACTACATTCAATGACAGTGACTCATATTGAAAAGATCGTCCCAATTTCATGGTACTGTATACAATGTTGGAGCCCGGGTGGTGCCGTGCTTAAGAGCTCAGGCTGCTAACCAAAAGGTCGACAGTTCAAATCCACCAGTCACTCCTTGGAAACCCTGTGGGGCAGTTCTACTCTGTCCAGTAGGGTTGCTATGAGTTGGAATCGACTCAACAACATTGGGATTTTTTTTATGGGTATACAATGTTAAAGTTGGAGGAGACCTCTGTAGAGTCCAACCCAATGGCCGAAGAAACTGAGTATCCATGAAGTTAAGGGACTTTCCTCAGATCACACAATTAGTCATTGTTGGAGGCAGAACTAAACCCAGGCTGGAGTTGTGGTCTCTCCACATCCTATAGCAAGTAGTGTCAACTAGGATTGAAGTCTTTATCGTCTTGAAGTGGTAGTTCCTTTCTGTGAAGGAAAATGTATTTTTCCCAACTTTTAGACATATAAGGAATGGCAAAGAGTGAAGTCCTGTGATAATTTAATAAATTACAAGGCCAATCAGGCTGTCAGTAATTTGGGAGGTCAAAGAGCCACATAGGAGGCTCGGTATATCTTGGGTATAACTCAAAGTTGTACATTTTAAGACTTATATACTTATGACCACAAATGTTTTGTGGGTGTGGGTGTGGGTGTGGGTGTGAGTGGGTGGGTGTGTATTTATTTAGGTACCATACAGCAACTGGAAGATAGGTGAAAAGCATCCTGAGGTAAAGAGAGTAGAGATTATCACTTGGAGCCTCAATTTAATAGAGGGATTTAATTTAAATTCTGGAGCAACTGTGATTCAGACAACTGATGTTTAGTAAGTGGGGAGCCCAGACTGCATCCCTAACTCTGTTTAAAGCCCATCAAATTTTAACCTCCTTTCCTCTCCTCTCTTTCCCTCTCCCTCTCCCATCCCCTCTCCCCCTCCCCCAACCCTGTCTCTTTCTCTGTCTCTCTCTCTCTCTCTCTCTCTCTCGATAATTTTAAGAAATAGACCTTCCCCAAACAACACTTTAAGTGAGATATTTTGTGAATAGTTGTTAAGAAAAAAATTACGTTATGGTAGCATGGGCCCAAACCTAACTGCCTCTTATATTTTTCCCCTACAGGTAAAGTCACACCATGTTTCTCTCTTGTAAACTGCCCAGATTCCATGGAAAATAATGTTACAGAATTTATCCTCACAGGTCTTTCCCAAAATGAGGAAGTGCAACAACTATGCTTCTTTTTGTTCTTACTCTTTTATATTATCCTCATGGCTGGGAATTTTCTCATTATAATGACTATCCAAAGGAGCCCAAATCTCAATTCTCCAACGTACTTCTTCATTAGTTTCCTATCCTTTGTCGACATCTGCTATTCCTCTGTTACAGCCCCCAAGTTGATTATTGACTTCCCAGCCAAGGTCAAAAGCATCTCTTTTGTTGGTTGTATGATCCAGCTTTTTTATTTTCATTTATTTGGCTGCACAGATATCTTTATCCTCACAGTGATGGCCTATGACAGGTATGTGGCCATCTGTAAACCTCTGCGCTATACAACTATCATGGACTGGAAGGTCTGCTCCATGCTGGTGCTGACCTGTTGGTTGGGAGGTTTTGTGCATTCCTTTATCCAGACCATCCTCACTGTCCAACTGCCATTCTGTGGCTCCAACCTGATTGATCACTATTTCTGTGATGTCCACCCTCTATTGAAGCTGGCTTGTGCCGATACATATGTGGTGGGGCTGATAGTGGTAGCCAACAGTGGCATAGTTTCTCTGAGCTGCTTTGTCATCCTTGTGGGCTCTTATACTGTCATTTTGCTTTCCTTCAAGACTCGCTCATCAGAGGGGAGGCGCGAGGCCGTCTACATGTGCTTCCCACATCACTGTGGTGATCTTGTTTTTTGTACCCTGTATCTTCATCCACCTAAGGCCTTCCACCACTTTTACTGAGGACAAGATGGTGGCTGTGTTTTACACCATAATCACACCCATGTTGAACCCTCTGATCTACACCCTGAGAAACACGGAAGTGAAGAATGCCATGAAGAGATTGTGGATCAAGAAATTATTGGGCAAAAATAGGAAAGACCCTGATGTGAAACCTGATGGGATTGGTACAGCCTAAATTGTATTAGTTTCCAAAAGTGTTGCTGGGAATAAATCAGTCAACATCCCTTAAACCCTATCACACAAAGGAACAGTATAATGTAGCATAAAGAGTCTTAGATTTGAAGTCTAAAGATCTAGTTTTAAGGGCCTACTCTACCAATGAGTAATAGTTTGACTTTGGGCAAAGAGATACTTCTTTGTAGGTGTCCTGAGGAGAATAAATAACCATACCAAAAAAAATTATGAAACACAGTCTGCTTCATAACTTTCATAGTACTATTGCCTCTGTCTGAGAAATAGTTATTACATGGTATGGTATGTCAAGCATATTATGTTCTAATAAAAGAGTGACACCAAAGACAAACACTAAAGTTGATGTCATTATCCTTTGCCTCATCTGTTTCACCTTTTTAAATGGAAAAAAAGCTACTTTTCCTAACATCTCCCATAATAATAGAGAAGATCAAATGAGATAGAAGTGGGTTTGAAAGCATTTTGGCAATGGTAAGGAGTTGCATTCGTGGAAGTTCTTACTGTTGGTCCCATTAACTTGGCGACTCTAGACTTCCAAACAACTCCTATTTAAAGAATTCAGCTGGAGGTTTTGGGGCTCCTCTCACATAATTCTTTTTAAACTATTCATAGATGGGAATTACTTATCTTAATATCATAGCAGAAGCTACAATGGAATCAGAATCAAAGAAAACATGCACACCATAGGGATATCTGAGTCAAGAAAAGGGTTTGTAGTGGGTATTGTGGTGCACCTCCAAGATTTCCCTTCAGGATTGAGGTGCTCATTCCAGGTGCCAGATGTGATGGTTGCTGAGAGCTTACAGTTGATCCTTCCCCAGAAATTGTCTTTGGAACAATTTTTTTTTTTAACAGTCTCACCCAATATCACACCCCCTTCCTCCAGCAAGGGACATCCAGTGATTGATCAATGTGGTGGTAAAAAGGTCTAGAGCTCTTGCCTCAATTTGGGACAACTCGGAAGCGCCATCCAGCTCCAGAGCTTCCTATGAGATCATCCAAGACTTTTGTAACTGTATCACAATTCAGTGTCTCCCTTTGCCTAATTCTGCTTCCTTTACTCCTTCACAGACATTGATCTTGAGAGCACTTCCCAATAAATTTTTTCACAAAAATCTCCATCTCAGAGATGTTTCCTAGGGAATCCAACCCTTGGCCTACTTCCCATACACACACTCCATGCTCTTTCCTCTTCCATTGTCTGGATGCAGATAATGCTGAAGCCTTAGTACATGTCCCTGAATAACAGGGTAGAGAAGAGCTACCCACCAACCTGACACTGCCAGGAACTGTCACCTGAGCAAGGAATACACATCAGTTGGTTAAGCCCTTGAAGTATTGTGGATGCTCTGTTCACACGGCCTAGCCTTACTTAACTAATTCAATTGGTTTAGCTTTTCCGCAGGGCAGTTTGACCCCCCTCTTTAAAATATAATATGTGCATCCCTATAACCCAGCAATTTTCCGTCTGGCTACCTCTCCTATAGGAATATTGAAAGTGGGCATGGAGAGAAGGACAGACGCTGCAGTATGGCTATAATATAAAGCACTGTTTGTAATATTAAAATTTTTCACATAAGTACAATAAACCATTGCCTATTTGGAAGGGATGGGCCTAAAGACTGAAGATAAAAGAAAAAGAAAACAAGATAGGGCCTACACAGATCAGTGATAAAACAAGGAACAGAATTAGCTCAATCCTGAGATCACAAACACACACAAACACAAAAAAAAAAAAATACATTATGGGACATACACATAATGAAATACTATGTAAGTTAAGAGAGTGGGGTAGATTTACATATACTGACATTGAAAGAACTCCAAAATTCATTGCTAAGTGAAAAAAGCAAGTTGCAAAACAATATGCCTAGGAAAATACATAGATGTAAAAAGAAAAAAAAAAAAAAAACACTTGTTGATTGAACCTATGTATTCAGTTGTTTTCACCCACCCTCCACAATTCGGATATTGGTCCCTTTGAATGTAGTAAAAAAAGAGTTCTCTCCTGCTACAGTGATCATCAAGGGGAGAAAATAAGCCAATTAAGTCTCCATTCTGTGTGCTGGATAATCAGCCAGTCCTGCTTTCTGGGGCCAAACCACCCAGGCCTTATGGCACTGTGACAACCTTTGGCAACTAATTACACCCTAAGGAACTGAGGCAAAGAGTTAGGAAAAGTTTGCAAAGGAGCAAATTAATGTCACCTCTTGGGGGTTCTTCAGTGCTGACGGAGAACTTCTTCTACTTCCTTGAGATTCCCAGGAGCTTCAGGCAAGTAATTAACGGCCTGAGTTGAGGCTGGGAGAACACGTGCCCACTAAATGTACAAGTCACTGATGAGCCAGGACTTGCTGTTCCAGACTTCCTGTAACCATACTGTGAGCCAAAAACCATGGTCAATGTCACCCTGAACCACCAAAACAGGTTTCCTTAATTTCACATCCCAGAGACAAACAAGTAGGGGTCTCAGAAAGTCCCTTGCTCTTTATGAAAATTGTGCATACCAAGTGAGGCACCTTTTGCTCAGCTTCAAAAAACACATAGTAGGTACCTACACTTCCCACAAAGGAGCCTTCATGGCATAACAGTTAAGCACTTGGCTGCTAACAAAAAGGTAGGTGGTTCGAACTCACCAGCCACCCCGTGGGAGAAATACCTGGCACACTGCTCCTGCAAAGATTACAGCCTAGGAAACCCCATGGGGCAGTTCTACTACAGGGTTGCTATGAGTCAGAATCCACTCGACAGCACACAATAACACACTCCCTACATCTGCATTATTAAGCAAGGCACTCAGTTAACTTCTCAGACCAAAGACATCTACTCCAAGGAAATGTTCTGCCTCTGCCTATCTTAAGAAGCAGCTAGCAGTTCATCTTCATTTCTTGCACCCATCATCTTATTTAAAACTGTTTGTAAACACTACGACTATTTTCACTTTACAGATGCAGAACTAAAGGCTCAAAGATGCGGAGTGGCTTGTCTGTAGTATCAGCTAGTAGGTGGTCAGCTAGGATACAAACCAGGTCGGCCGACTCCATAGCCTAAAGCTTTCCCACTCCACATACCACCTCCCTGCCAGCCCCACCACTTCGTGAAGAGGACCTCATAACGTTTGCATAATTCTCTTCCCCACCCTATCCCATTCCCCTTTTTCACACATTCCAGCGTCTCTCCTGCCCTGCTCCCATGCTGCACCAGGTCTCCAGTCCCCTGTTCATTTACCCTAAGTTGGTTGGAATGTCAATGTCCAAAATCTGAGTCCAAGGCCAGCGTGGAATAGTGGAGAGAGTCCTGAATTTTGAACCATATAGACCAGAGTTAAATTTCCAGGTTTGCCATTTGTTAGCTGAGTGGCTTTGGCAAGATACTACACTGAAACCTGTGAGAGCTGGAAGTCAACGCAAGTGCCTTGTTTTTCCAGATCTTGCAAGTTTTCTGCCTTTGACAGGGTGCAGTCTTACCACTTCTCTATCGCTGTCTATTAGTGGAAAATATTTTAGTTTTTCTTCTCTGACAGGTTTCCACCTTACACAGGTTCTGGCTTTCACAGGTTTTACTGTAATTATTTCTGGTTTTTTCTGATAAGGATTTTACGGGGCTGAGAGAGATTACCGTAATTTGCTATTAAATCACTTCCACTCACAGGTCTGCCTTTGGGGCCGCATGAGTCACATTTGTTCCTTCTTGTCCATGGTGGTCTTTCAAAGTTTCCACGAAATAACCATGCTTTTTCCCTCCCACCCAAGCATTCTGGAATTATGCAAGCTCCTGTGTGCCCACTGGGCCAGGTAGGGTAGATAGGACCAAAGCACAGGATTGGTGTGTATATATATATATAATATATATATATATATATACACACTCACACCCATATATATCAATTACTTGTATCAAAAATGTTAAGAGTGGTACTACCTATCTAGTGGGATTATTATCCTATATTAGTTATCTATTGTTGTGAGAAAATATTGAAGTTGTCAAGGATTTCATTTTACTTGGATCGATAATCAACCCCCATGGAAGCAGCGGTCAAGAAATCAATGCATTGCATTGGGCAAATTTGTTGCAAAAGAACTCTTTAAACTGTTGAAAAGCAAAGATGTCACTTTAAGGACTAAGGTGAGCCTGACCCAAGCCATGGTGTTTTCAATCGCCTCATATGCATGCAAAAGCTGGACAGTGAATAAGACAGAAGAAGAACTCATGCCTTTGAATTATGGTGTTGGTGAAGAATATTGACTATACCACGGACTGCTAGAAGAACAAACAAATCTGTCTCGGAAGAAGTAAAGTCAGAATGCTCCTTAGAAGCAAGGATGAGGAGACTTCATCTCACATACTTTGGACATGTTATCAGGAGGGACCAGTCCCTGGAAAAGGACATCATGCTTGGTAGAGGGTCAGTGAAAGAGAGGAAGACCTTCAACGAGATGGATTGACACAGTGGCTGCAACAATGATTTCAAACATAGCAACGACTGTGAGGATGACACAGGACCGGGCAGTGTTTGTTCAGGAATCAGGAGCGGCTCAGTTGGAGGGTTCCAACGCAGTATCTCATAAGGGCTGCAGTCACCTGAAGGCTTGTCTGGGGTTGCAGAATCTGCTTCAAAGCTCACTCACATAACTGTTGGCAGGAGGTTCATTTCCTCACCTCATCAGTCTCTCCACAGGGCTGTTCACAACTTGGTAGCTGGCTTCCCCCAGAGCAAATTATCAGGGAGAGAGACCAACACAGAGCCACAGTATCTTTTATAACCTAATCTCAGAAGTAACATAGCATCACTTCTTCTGCATTCTATTGATCATGAAGACCAACCCTGCAACAATGTGGGAGAGGAGTACACAAGGGTATGAATATAGGAGGCAGGGATCATTGGAAGCCATCTTGTTGACTGGCAACCACACGAGATTTTTTTTCTTCTTTATCTGAATTTCCTAAAATATTTACCATAAACATATTACATAATAAATTATAAGGAAAAAGCCACCAACTGATAGCAAGGGCACCTCCTTGAACCTATTAGGGTTTCCCTATTTACCTCCTAGCTCCTGTTCCAGGCCTATTTTCCTTCATTGCCTTCTCACAGTCAAACCAAGGATTGCGTCCTCAACCCAGTCCTCTAGCGCCATCTAGTGGCAGCTGACTGCGGTGCTCAGCAAAGAGCCTGCAGGAAAATGATTCTGACAGGATGTGACAGTAAAGCCCAGGATCTCACGTTTATTCTCAGAGCCCCCAGAGATCT